CCCCAAAACCCCAAAACCCCAAAACCCCAATTGACTTGGATTTTGTTAAGATAATAATAATAATAATAATCTATAAATGCTAAAGACTCTAAGTATTCTAGGATTCTTGGGAGTAGCTACTGCTGCCTACACAGACGATTTAGTCACCAGTCTTCCTGATATGGGTGATTTCAACACTTACAAACTCTATTCAGGATATCTATCAGTGAAGGGAACTGGCAAATACTTACATTATATGTTTGCTGAGAGCCAGTCTGCTCCATCTACCGATCCTTTGCTAATATGGTTTAACGGAGGTCCAGGATGCTCCTCAATGCTTGGATATTTGCAAGAGCACGGCCCCTTCGTAATAGACGATGGTGCTACTAAATTCCACAAGAATGACTACTCTTGGAACAAAGAGACAAATATGCTATATATCGAAAGTCCAGCTGGAGTAGGATATTCATTCTGCGACAGAAAGGATATTTGCTCATTTAACGATGAGACATCTTCTTTGGACAATGTTGATGCTCTTCTAAGCTTCTTTGCAAAGTTCCCTGAATATAGAGATCATGATCTTTATATCTCTGGAGAATCATATGCTGGCGTTTATGTTCCTTATCTCGCCTATAGAATTGACCAATACAATGAACAAGCTGTGAAGAACAAAGGATACACATTCAACTTGAAAGGATTCCTAGTGGGTAATGGAGTCACGAACTGGAAGTGGGATGGTGATCAATCATATGTTGAGATGGCTCTTCACCATGGTCTCTATGGACTTGAACTCAAGAAGGAAATAGATGACAATTAATGCAATTTCTACTATGAAGATGAAAATCCAGAGGACTCACCTCCATGCTAAGATATTTACAAAAAGTTCGGGGATTTAACCTCTACAATCAATATGTATGATATATACAGAGCCTGCTTTACAAATAAGCCAATGGAGGGACTCTTATAATCAGAGGCATCTCATGGCTAAGTAAACATCAACGGCTAAACAAAGACCTACAGAAGACATTACACCAGCAAGGATTACACTCCTTGGTTCTATGAAAAGCAATAATCAAAGATCTAGAAGTATCTTGGAGACCTACCACCCTGCACTTATGTTTTGCCAGTAATAGATTGGATCAACAGAGCAGATGTTAGACAAGCACTCCACATTCCAGACATGGTCTAAGGTTGGGAAATGTGCGCTGGAAATGACACTGTTGGTTACTGGTCTTAGCCATAAGCATCAGAATGGATCTATCCACTTTTGAAGGGTAAATACAGAATACTTTTCTACTCAGGAGACACTGACGGTGCAGTTCCAACTAGAGGAAGCAGATAATGGATTTCAAACATGAACTGGACAATCAAGGAGAAGTGGAGACCCTATTTCAACGACGATAACCAAGTAGCTGGCTACATTGAAGTTAGGGACGGCTTGACATTTGCTACAGTCCACGGTGTAGGTCACATGGCTCCACAATGGAAGAAAGCTGAGTCTTATCATCTAATTTTCAACTGGATTAAGGGCTAGCCAATTTGAGGCTCCAAGTATGTCTAATCCTGAAGGATTTTAGAGATAGCTATCGATGATATTAAATAACCTTAATTTAATAAATACATAAATATTTAAGAATCTTAATTATAAAGTATATATTTCATTCCATAATCTTTTTGTGCTCTGATGGGTCACACACTTCTGAGATCCAATAAAGAAAATGCAAAGGAGCCCAGGTTAATAGAGTAATTGCTCCGATTTTCATAAAGAAGACGTGGTCAATGTAACTTGTGTCGAAGTATTCCTTGAGCAAAACTACACTCATAAAGTACACAACAGCAGTTGCTATCTGAATTAAGAACATTTGGAAACTGAATATATTGATTTGAGTGTAGACATTTAGAAGTTCAATCACAATCAGTGATGAGAAAGTAATAGTCACAATGTTGGCATATGAGTCATTGAAGAACAATATAGAGAACATGATAATTACTGATCCCTACAACAACATTATAAAGTTTAAAGATTACCTAGAAAAGTGATTTCCAAACCCAGATGCAGAATGTCTTAAAGTTTAGATTTCTTCCTTTTTAAAGAGTTTTATACAGAGGAGGGAATTTCAAGACTGCATCTACGTTTGCATCTCTATCAAAGACTAGTGAAAACACTGGCAGACTAGTATATATGGTAGCATATCCTAACATCAAGAAACCGTTGTAAACAGGGATGGCAACGAAGTAGAATAATATGATAAAAATGCCTTGAATAACTGATATGATAAGACCTCTATGGATGACGAACTAGGACAAAACTGCGGATCTCTTGTAAGATAGTCTTCCATGCCATAAGATTAGCTTTCTAAGTGAGCCGAATTCCATAATTGAAAAATCAGATGCCAAAGAGGCTTGCATTCCTTCTTTACCAACAATACCAATACCCACATCTGCTTCAAGGATCATTCCGACATCATTACCTCCGTCTCCAACTCCTGCTATTCTCATTCCATTAGTATACAATTTAAGTAATTAGCATATTCTTGCTTTTTGCGTGGGACTACATCTACAAACGCAAACGCAAGGTGCTTTAATTGAAATCTCAAAGAAAGCTTGCTCGGTATCATTGTTTTTCAAGATGGTATCCAAAGTTTTACCATCAATAATTAGAACTGTAGTTAGAACCTTTGGTGCGAATTCCTTAAGATGATCTTAGACAAGCTTAGGATCGTCTAATTCTCTCATAAAATATAGTTAATGTCTTCTACTCTTGAGACCTGCACTAATTGCTATACTAGTGGCAGTCTCTACTTTGTCTCCAGTCAACATCCAAACTTATATTCCAGCTGATTTTAATGACTCAATTGTTAGCTAAACATTATTTTATAATTTATCCTCAACTCCTGTTACTCCAAGGAATTCAAGATCATGTTCTAATTCAGAAACTGCTGCTTGAATAAATTGTTCTCTTTGCTTTAGTCTACTTGCTGCCGCTTTGTAATTTTGTAAAAATAACTCACAGTCATGTGCAGTTAGTACTTTCTATGCTATAACAAGAGTTCTTAATCCTTCCATTGCGAGACTCTCACAGAATTCAAGAAGTGGTGCTCTTTAGGCAGGTTTAACTTTAGTCTCCATTACTACCTCAGCTCCTTTGACATAGTAAATTATTCTACCAGTATCCTTTTACCTTACTAGAATGGACATTTTCTTAGTTTCACTGGAAAACGGAAAATTAGCCAAAACCTCATAATTTTCATATTTATTGTCAGAGTTCTTAATTTAAACTTAAGCTCTATCTCTTTCAAGCAAATACATATTCATATCAATAGCAAACTTAACTAGAGCTATTTCATCTGGACTGCTCGCTTGTAAAATTGGTTCATCAGACTTATCCTGGTTTATTCTATCTTGAGAGTGTTGAGGAGTATTATTTGAAGCTCTTCTTGAACTTCCGAAATTGCTAATATCAGCATTCTTATGAGCCTGAGGGACTTGCACTGCGGGATCTTAGTGAACTGGAGTTACATTGTTGCAGATTGTCAATGCTGTAAGCATATCTCTGCAAATTTGATGCTATTCTCTTCTTCTTGTTTGAACTTTAGCAGTGATAATATCATAGTCACCACAAGGACCTTCCCCAAACAATCTGCAATTTTTAAATATGAGTTCCTTCAAATCTTCTGCAGTGTCATCTGATGAAAACTGAGCAAATTCAGTCATTATTCTTTTGCAAATCATATCATTTTAAGTTAAAGTTCCAGTTTTATCAGTAATAAGGAACTGAATTCTACCTAATTCCTCAGGAATAGTTGAATTTCTAGCCACTGTACCTGGAATTTAATCATCTTGGTTAATACAATAAGAGTACCACATTTTAGCAAGATCTAGATTCACTCTGAGACTAATAGGAATGATACTTGAAAGTAATAGAACTATTCTAAAGTAAAACATTAACCAATCACCATGAAAACCATTCAATAGTACTATAGACATTGAAAGAATGAGCACTAAAACGAATAAAATCTTGCTCAGATAGTTAATCTCTCTGTCTAGTTGACATTGCTTTGTAGTTGGTAGCTTTTAATTCATTTAAGACCTAGTGGACCTTCCTGTGTATACCACTATTCCTACAATAAAACCTTAAGAGGCTAATACTGTTTCTGCCCAAAGCGTATTTTCTAGACTTAAGGCCTCCCTTGATTCATGTCCATTTCTCACATGATTTTCAAAGAGTCCAGCGAATTCATAAATCAAGTTTGTTGGACCTTCACATTTAATCTCAGCATTATCCATAAATAATATTTCTTCTGGTCTTTCAATTTAATTTTAAGTGAATGTGACAGGTCTTCTTACCTTCCAGTCTGTCTCCCCATCTAATTAATCTGTTCTAATAAAGACTGTGCCAGATTTGTCTGTAGTATAGAGCAAAACCAAATCTGCTGGAACTCTCTCATTACTTTAAACATAAATCACATCTCCTACTTTGAGATCTTTAGACTGCACTTCAATAGTTAACTTAGAATTCTTATCAATCTTCTTATAAACTTTAGTATTCATGATCTTATCTCTCTAATATCTTTAATAATCATCATATCCCTCTTTAGCCATAGTTAGCAATAATACAAAAACTAAAGGAGCAAGAAATGTAAACAAGAATCCAACTCTCAAAGATTCAAAGAACTGAGATATGGACACACACAAGAAGAACAAGTTAAAAAAGAACTTGAACTAATTAAAGAGTACAACTGGAACGAAATTCCAAGTTGAGTATTTTTAATTAGAAATGGAGTTTCCTGGGAATCTTTCGCTCTTTTACCCATCTTTATACTTGCCGTCAATCTTAATCCTACGTAACTATAGTACAAATTAATTAGATGAAATAGAATTGAATTTGGGAATATTTTATTTTGAGAGATATACTTACATTTGGGATTTGATCTAGTAAATCTGGTTCCTAAAATATCTATGCTCTTTATAAATGATGAAAGTATATTTACAGATGATCTTTTGAGATCAGGATTCTAATGATTTTGGTTATTATTTTAGAAAGCATCTTGATTATTTTAGTCATCATTCCTAAAGCTATCGTCTTCTTTCTCGTCCTCGAAGCGCTGCATATTTAAATCAATCAATAATTAATTAAAATAGCAGATTTAAATTCAAATAAACTATCAACACATCGATAATAAAAAAGAAATTAATTAACTAAAATGGCAGATATTGAAGAATAAGCATAACAAGATTTACAATATAACTAAAATAAAGAGTATCTCTAAAATGAAATAGAACCAATACTTTGCAAATTGGTAGCAGAAGTCCTCAAGAAAAAACCAGCCGACCCCGTATGAAATTCATTCCAAAGTTTTATTAATGAATAACAAAAAATTGTTTAGATTCCTTTGATTGTTTAATTGCTAGGAAATATGATGGATTAGAATGAGCCAAATAATAAATCGCTTAGTGACTAAGAAATTGTTGAATATTTTGATCTAATTAGCAAAAAATAGATCATTTCTAAGGAGGTAAATATTATTGTCAAACAATCATTATAGTTGGAAGAATTAGAAAAATAGTGAGTGTAATCTTAAAAGAATTTTGCAATATCAACTTCATTTTGAATATTGGGAATTATACATAATTAGATTTGTGATTTGGCATTCTATTTATTCCTTAAGGGGTTTTGGGGTTTTGGGGTTTTGGGGTTTTTGGGG